CATTCGTTCCGTTTTTCCCCCCCCCCCCCCCCCCTTATCTGGTCCTGACTGGAAAAATGTTCTGTTTTAGGCAGCAGCCGTCAAAGCCTGAACACCAAGAATCTGCCGAAAACGCCACAACGGACTCCGCAAACACAGACCAAGGTCACCTCCATTTTGTTTTAATTGTAAAATCTTTGCTCACAGAACAAATAGCAAACAATGCAGGAATCGGGCCGGCGTGACACCCAGTCACATGGGCTGATGGTGGGGGACTACAAGTGGCCTTTCCAGCACACATTACATAGACTTGGGTCCACCGGGGCAGCAAGCACACAAGCTGATCCGCGTTGGTGTGGCCATTTCGCATCCTTTCTAGTTAGAGCTACAGGACCCTCTACCAATGCAGAGTGTGCCCCCAACTCCTTAGTAGGCTTGCCTGACATGTCACCCACCAATCCCTGCCCAGCTTGATTGACAGCAGGGACTGGCCGCATACCTTTTGTTCTAACTGCACCCGCCGCCATGCAATAGAGCAGAGGTAGCCAACCTTGGCACTCCAGTTGTGGTGAAACCCCAAATCCCATCATGCCCCTGGGTAGGAATGCACCGATCATTAGTATCAGTATCGGTGCCCATGCCGAGGATTTGGGCGAGTCCTTGTAGTGGCCCAAATGCTCCAATGCTTAGCCTGATACTTGAGCTTCTGGTATCAGGAAGCCGGGCAGCGAGTCATTACTCGCGGCCCGGCGTCCTGATTGGCTGGGAAACCAGCTCCATGCTCCCTCATCAACTGATGACGAGGAAGCACGGAGCAGCTGCCCGTCCCGGCTTCCCGATTGGCCGGGAAGCCGGGCAGCATGTCTTTACATGCCCCCCCCCCGGCTTTCTGATTGGCCAGAAAGCCGGCTTCATGCTCCCTCGTCACCTGATAACAAGGGAGCATGGAGCCAATCAGGAAGCTGGGCGCCGTGTAATGATGTGTTTCCTGATTGGCCAGAAAGCCGGCTCCATGCTCCCTTAGTCACCTGATAACAAGGGAGCATGGAGCCAATCAGGAAGCTGGGCGCCGTGTAATGATGTGTTTCCTGATTGGCCAGCTTCTCGACCAATCATGAAGACGGGCAACTCATCATTACACGGCGCCCGGCTTCCTGATTGGCCAGAAAGCCGGCTCCATGCTCCCTTGGTCACCTGGTGACGAGGGAGCATGGAGACGGCTTCCCTGCTGATCGGGAAGCCGGGTGGTGAGTTATTACACTCCGCCTGGCTTCCTTAATGGGACTTTTGGTATTGGCATTCGGTATCGGCGAGTACCGGTGAAAAAAATATTGGTACCCATACTCGATATCAAAAAACTGGTATCGGTGCATCCCTACCTCTGGGAGTTGATGCCTGTGGCTGTCAGACTTGCAATGCCTCATGGGACTTGTAGTTCCATAACAGCCGGGAGTGCCAAGGTTGCCTTACCCCTGCGATAGAATGATCTGATTGGAGCTCTTGTGGTCATGTGACCACTTCCTACAATTCAGAGAGTAAGGGGTAGCCATTGACATTTATACACCGCAGTGCATTCGCGGTGACGGTCTGTTAGTAGCCGACGTCACATAAACGTGACCGAATGTTAGAACCTGAATGAGATCTGTTGTGCCGCGGAGAACGTTTCGCACGTACTAATATCGGAATCTTCTCCCGCAGGTCCCGCAATGAATGACGACGACATGTTCAAAGCCGCCAGGAAAATGTCCTTGGACACAGGCGGGACGGGCCCGAGCACCCAGGAAAAATGACCCTTGGGGCTGCGGCCTGCCTGTTCACACTGGCCTGCTTTTTGTTGCGCAGGTAGTAAGGATGTACATACTCGGTGTCACCTCTGGACGGACGTCTGCTGGGGATATGCTGTATTTTGAAGCTTTTCTGGGTGTCTTTTTTTAAAGGTGTCAGTGCGACATTTTACTTTCACAAGAAGATCATTTCTTTGTCCTGCTTCCCCTCCCCTCCCCGGACGTGTCTCTCGGTCACACAGAAATATCTCTCGCAGGTCCCGCTTCACCGGGATGAACTTCACACCACCCAACCGGGCTTACAGCATGGCCCCGCTCCCCGTCCAAAGCCCATTCCGTGTGAAATCCCGCCTTCTCTGATAGGTCAGCAGAATATGAGGCCCATATCATCTGATTGGTCAGCAGTACATGTGGCCCACTTTGGACAGCTGACCAGCAGTACATGTGGCCTGCTTCCCCTGATTGGTCAGCAGTACATGTGGCCCACCTTGTCTGACTGGCCAGCAGTGTATGTGGCCCTCTTCATCTGATTGGTCAGCAGAATATGAGGCCCACCTTGTCCGCCTGACCAGCAATACATGTGGCCTGCTTCCCCTGAATGGTCAGCAGTACATGTGGCCCGCTTTCTCTGATTGGTCAACGGTATATGTGCCCCCCTTGCCTGATTGGCCAGCAGTTTAAGTGGCCCACCTTGTCTTTATTGTGCAGCAGTACATGTGGCCCGCCTTGTCTGATTGGTCAGCCATATATGGGGCCTTGCTTACATGGGGTCAGCGGTACATGTGGCCCGCCTCGCCTGACTGGTCAGCGGTACATGTGGCCCGCCTCGCCTGACTGGTCAGCGGTACATGTGGCCCGCCTCGCCTGACTGGTCAGCGGTACATGTGGCCCGCCTCGCCTGACTGGTCAGCACTCTGATTGGTCAGCCTTATATGTGGCCCCATCTCCAGCTGTCCTTTCAGGAAACTATTAAAGAGGACCTGTCTCAGAAGCCTCTGATGCAATTGGCCGTTCTCTAGGGGAAGAAGCGATTTCAGAAATATATTGAATGTAGTATAAGGGAAGTGTACCTGGACTCTAGTGATGAATATAATGCTGGCGGAGGACTCAGGACTCGGGTCTCACATGGAAGATTTCGATGAATTTTCACAGCTGACCTCCGGGAAGGTATAAAAGGCACAAATGATCCGAGCTCTGCGTTCATCATTAAATGTATTATTTTTAAATGCAAGCAGTGTAAGTAACTGAATTCCACTCAGACTCGGCCTCATGCAGTCCCTGTGCAGCAGAGCTCACACTGGGGGAGGGAGGAGCAGCACAAGAAACCAGTTAGGTGTTTGTTTTGTAATATCTTAAGCAGGTGTGCTGCAATGCATGGAGCATGCTTATAGGAGGAGAGAGCCGAGTGAGAGAAATATGAGCTCATCATTGTGCTGCTTCTCCTTTCACTGTTCAGTCACAGGGTGTAGGGGGGATGTAATTATCAATATAACTGCAGCAGACAGGGCCCGGCTATCTGGCAGAGCCATGTAATTCTCAGGACTGGATAGACAGAAATGCAAATCCTTTGTCAGCCATGGTTAGGACTTGCTCCAGTCCTGTGTACCTCCATGTTAAGTTCAGTTACCATGGCAACGCACCGTCCTGTGTACCTCCCATGTTAAATTCAGTTACCATGGCAATGCACAGTCGTGTACCTCCATGTTAAGTTTAGTTACCATGGCAACGCACCGTCCTGTGTACCTCCCATGTTAAATTCAGTTACCATGGCAACGCACGGTCCTGTGTACCTCCATGTTAAGTTTAGTTACCAAGGCAACGCACCGTCCTGTGTACCTCCTATGTTAAATTCAGTTACCAAGGCAACGCACGCACATTAGATTGCAGTATATTTTAAGTGCCACATGTTGTAAATCGTTTTTGATCGTTTGGTTGACATTTGATTCAGCGAGAGAAATGACGAAACAAAAATCATCCGAGTGACGGGTCCTGGTCTACACGGAAGCATGAACCTCATTCCCGACCGTATGGTCACATGCGATGAGCACATGAGGATCGGGGGTCTGCAGCTGCCGGTGTTCCTGGTACAATGTAATAATAAAAATTAGACATGTGCGATTCGGTTCGTTCCGAAATTCGTTTTGAACGAATTTTCGGAAATTCGGAGATTCGGATGCATCCGAATTCCGAATTACAGCTAAGACGAATGCAAACGAATCCGAAATTCCCGATTTCCCGAAATTCGTTATTGGACGAATTTCGTTGCACCATTGACACCATTTTACCTCTACAACACATCTAGGCTTAAAGTACAGAGGCTATAGTGTAGCGGTTAGAGCAAAGGATTCCCATTGCTAAGGTCCTATGTTCAAATCCCGGCCAAGTCAACTAATATTTAAAGTTTTTTTTTTTTTCTTTGGTTTTGAATTGGCATTCTCCTAACATTCCTACCAGACCTAAAGGGTCTGGTATGAATTGGGGGGGAACCTCAGGCTTTTTTTTGAATTGGGGGGAACCTGCAGGCAGTCTGCAGAAGATGAAAAAAAAAAAAGCGTGAGGTTCCCCCCCAATTCATACCAGACCCTTTAGGTCTGGTAGGAATGTTAGGAGAAAAAGTCCAGCCATTGGAGAGTAAAGTTTTTTTTTTTTTTTTTTTCATAAACGAATTTCGTCCGAAATTAATTTTATTTCGGACCCGAAAAACGAAACTAAACTAAACACATTTTTTTTTTTCCAAAACGAAACTAAACTAAACGAATTTTTTTTTTTTTTTTCAAAACTAAACTAAACTAAACGAATTTTTTTTTTTTTTTTTCAAAACGAAACTAAACTAAACGAATTTTTTGCTGGTGCACATGTCTAATAAAAATGTTATTTTAGAAATGTTTCTCTATCGTCCACTGAGGGGCGCGGCCTTGATGTTAATAAGCAACCTTGGGTTATACTGCCGCCTACAGGAGAAAATGGTCACTAGGCTGATAGGAAACTGAAGGCCAGCCCCCTTGGGGCTATAACCCCGCCCACCTGCTGTAACAAGCAGTCCAAAGAGAAAAGGGGAGGGGAGCTGCGTCCTTCAATGGGCTCCGAGAAATGCAATTTATGGTGACTACGCAAATCCTATTTCTCTCTCGTTCATTGAGGGACACGGCGTGATGATGATGAGCAACCCGGGGACCCCCAAAAGCAGTCTAAACCGACGGCAATCTAATTATCAGGAAGTATCGGATCTACCACCACACGAGGGATTGCCTGATTTTGTGATACTCGATCCTCCAGTGAGGGACACAGCTTTGATGATAATAATGTAACTTTGGGTTATACTGCCGCCTACAGGAGAAAATGGACACTGGGCTGATAGAAACCTGAAGACCCGCCCCCTTGACCCCTCCGACCTCACATGTGCTCAGCTTTGCTTAGTGTGCACAGAACAATGGATGTGTCTTTCATTCCTGCTGTATTTTTTTTTAACTTGAAATTAGGACTCCGGCCTTACTTTTTTAACTCACACCCCCCCCCCCCCCCT